CATTTTACCCACCTCGGAAGGATGGAAGGCTGAGTCAACCCTGAGCCGGTGAGATTTGAACCGCTGACCTGCTGATCTAGCAGTAGCCTGCAGTGCTGCATTTAACCACTGCGCCACCTTGGCTCTTACATGTGGTACCTCACTCAATAGTAGTAACTGTCAGAGGGATCGTGGAGTCTTAGTGGACAATCATTTAAATATGAGCCAGCAGTGTGCTGTTGAGACCCTAGAAAGAATGCAGATATCTTTGTTGCTCTTCTCTGCATTCTTTCTAGGAGACTGGATGCTAAAACATATGAAGAACGGCTGCTGGAAACGAGGTGACACAATGGTTAGAGTGCAGTACTGCAGGCTACTTCAGCTGATTGCTATCTGCAGTTCAGCAGTTCAAATCTCACCGGCTCAAGGTTGACTCAACCTTCCAACCTTCCAAGGTGGGTAAAATGAAGAACCAGATTGTTGGGGGCAATATGCTGACTCTGCTTCTATTCTATTCTATTCTATTCCTATTCTATTCTAAATAAGTGAACTGTTTCAGTAATTTATAAGAAATGCTAAAGAGAAATAGGGGTCTAAAATCTTCCACAGATTTTCCCTTTACCAGTTTTTTGTTCTTTTGAGCATTGTACCCAGTCTCTCTGTTCACTGAATATCATTGTAAAATTGTGTGAACCACAGAATAACGTATGACCCACAGTGCTTCAAGAACTCAGGATGTACTTCAGAGGTGGGTTCTTACCAGTTCGCACCCATTCGGTAGAACCGGTTCGTCAAATCTACCAAACTGGTTAGAAGAGGTTCCACCAGTGGACCCGGAAAGCAGGCCATACCTACAGAAGAGGTTCCAAATTTTTTTGAAACCCACCACTGATGTACTTCATCTAAGCTAGCTGCTTTCCCTGATTTTATCATTCATTTTAGACTCATTTTAAAGAGTATTAAAACGCTGGTTGAGGAAATTTGTATGTATCGTAGCAGTCACTACACTGCTTTCAAACATATATATTGAAGTACACAGTGGTGAAATTTATTTTTTTAAACTACTGGTTCTGTGGGCATGGTTTGGTGGGTGTGGCTTGGTGGGCATGGCAGGGGAAGAATACTGCAAAATCTCCATTCC